CCCATGAGTGACCAAGACAGAATTTCTCCTCACAATATCAATATAATATCAAGCAGACAGGTGATGAGATTAAAGAAAAATATCAATTAGGGGATTATAAGTTGATCCAATCCCAAATTCTCCAAACTGACTTCACAAGAACTGTATGGCAGACAGTAAAGAGAATTACTAATGAGATCCTTGAAGTTAAAGGGTTGATATTCTTCAACAAATGAAATAAACTGAATTGTTTAAGTGAAGATAACAACTGGAGCGGAATAAACATTTGAAGCAGTTGCCAAAATGGGATTAACAAACAACAAGTTACTACAATAAAAATTATAAGTTTAAAAAAAACTGACAAATGAGAAATAAAATAAAAGACAACAAAAAGACCCTTACAAACATTGTACGAGACCCTGGCTGGTTAAAGATAATGTAAAACATGAAGAAAACAATGGCACAGTGCAAGTTAACAATTAAAGCTGAATTAATAAAATCTAAGGTAAAGAACTTATATGCATAACACAAACAAAGAATACTTATTCTAAAAAAGGTAACAATATGAAAATGAAAGAACTTATAACAATATGAAAATGAAAGAACTTGATTGAAAAGTGACAAAGGCAAGAAAAAAAAAAGAGTAATGTCAAAAGAAAGAAACACCCAATAATTTTGGTGGCAACAACATCCTAACATCAGTTTACATGTTCCCCATGCTGTTCTAAACACTTTTCCTGAAGTCCCTGAAGGTTCACAATCAAGAGCTTCTTTGGTTGATAATCATTTCCTCTATTCTTGTGACCTAAATGTTTGATTCAAGGGTGTTATTGTTGGGAAAAATAAGATGCTAGCCACTCCTAGGAGTTGAAGGTGTAGGGGACTTAGAAGATAAAAGCTATTTTTAACCCTTTTACTCCCAAGATCTCATCAGTAATTCTCCTTACTGTCTGCTATACAATTCTTATAATGTTAGTTCTGAGAATTTGGTAGTGGGTCAACTAAAAATCCTCTTCTTAATATATTTCTTTGTTCTCATCACTTGTCTGCTTGATATTGTATTGACATTGCAAGGAGAAATTCTGTCTTGATCATTCATGGGAGTTAAAGGGTTAAGAGTTCCCATATGCTCAGCCACTTTCTGCTTGATATTAATTCAATTTTGACCCTTACAAACCATGTAACAGTATGAATTTTCTCCTTCTTCTTCCTTCTGTGATACTGAGATTATGCATATGATCAAAAGGATGTTTAGTTTCTGATTATTTTCTTTATTCTCGTGATCTTACTGTTTGATTCAGAGGTGATACTTCACAGGAAATTGAATGCTTGTCACTAAGTGACCTGGAATTATTGGTGCTTCCTTCTAGTTCATCCCAGGTTACTTGTCCAAGTTTCAAGTACAGTTTGAAAATATTTCATTCAACTCCTAGACAGGTTATACTCCCTATCCCCAAATGCAAAACAAAAGAGTGAATATAAAAAATACTTCATCTGTGTTTTATCCAGTACAAAACGGAACTAGAAACAAGCTGTATTTGTGTTACCCATGACTGGCTGGGAAACTTGAATGCAATTGTTTGCATTTAATGTTACACTACTCAAACCTTCAACAAATATATTAACTACAAAGGAAAATTATTTATCTTCAGACAACGGACCTCAGCTATGGAAACCAAAAAATTTAATTATTGAGTTTGTGAGGTTCACAGAAACTTGTAGCGATCTCAAAAATAATTGGAACTTGTTTAGAGTTTAATAAAAGTTTTTTCAACTCAGGCTCATTTTGTGATTATATTTTGAATCCTGTTCAGTATAATTAATCATCTAAACCTTCCCCCTTCACTGAATTTTCGATGACCGATCACAGATCAATGCTAGGAATGGTCTTCAGCAAATTGATTAAATGGAATATTTGATTTAAGTCAGTTACTTCCTTAAGATCCGTCTAACTTTTTTATCTGATTCCTCAACCGTTTTGTGAGCTAAATCTGTTTTTATTAAAATTCCGTCCAGCTGTTCATTTTGCCGTTCGATCTCGCCACCAAGTATCAATGCATCTTCTTTCAAGCGGCCTATGCCTCGTGACATAAGGTCCAGATTTGCGTTGATTTCCCTTTCGTACGGGTCACGCGATGAGAAGCTACTTCTTTGAAATTGACCACCTTCTCCTGTCCATGCTCCGTACTCTTTGCTATCCCTTCCGTGGTCTCTACTGGGATAATACAGAGAAGAGTCCTCTTCTAAGCCTGACAAGCCACTTCTGGTATTACTCGAAGGCAGTTGAGTGTTTTCTTTCGGTTGAGGTGCTTTCTTGAAATAATTCCCTATGGCTCCCCAAATGCTGTTCACCGATTTAATGTGTCTGTTTGCAATTTTCATGTCGCCCTGTATCTTGTCTAAGTTGCGTTCTACTCGATTCAGTTGTTCCCCTTGACATTGGAGTTCTTCTCCTGTTTTTACAGCTATGTCGTGTGTGTCTTCAATCAGGGCTAAAGAACGTTTAGTACTCTCCATTGTCCTTTCTCTTGCCATCTGCATCTGACTTCGTAATTCATCTCCATCGACCTTTTCAAACTCATCGTCGGAACCGTCGTCAAACGGGTTTGTCTTGCGATTAAAATCAAACTCACTTCTCCTACCGTTAGCGGCCATGTTGTGTGCCGTTTGAAACGATGACGTCATTTCGTAGTTCTATTTTAAGCACATGACGGATCCGTGACGCTAGCAAATAAGGGGCAGCACTCAAAATAATTGAGCTCTCAATGATCAGTCATTCAGTAAGAACATCCTGAAACTTTTAAGCATCGTGATTTATAGCTTTTCCATGGAAAGGCACTCACCACTTTTCCAGGAAATTATCCGCTTTCCCGCTTTTCACATCTGCCCGCGTGCCTGACTCATAGAGGGAATATTACTGCTTACCTGTTTCTCTTTTTTCGTGCTCAAGTTAGTTTAAGGGAGGTAGATTTCTGTCACTCCAAATGCTAAAAGAATAAGACGGACAATTACAATACTAAAATGATTGAGTGTATCTTAGTCTACATTATAAGCAATAGCAAGAGTGCTTTAAGTTTAAGATTGAAAACATAACGTAACGCTGGTGACACTCCTTCTTTTACTTCTTCCCTATTATACCCGATTTTGACCCTACCCCTGGCGGGGACATCCTGACATGAAGAATCGTGAAGAACTATGGGTAATGTCACGAGGCGCGCTAGGATCGTTGGTATACGCAGATTACAGAGTTAGGAATAGTAAGGAGTAGAGGAGTATTTACTTTCAAATTTTTCCTCAAAAACGGAAGTCTACGAGTTCCTCTGGAAAATTTATCACTTTAAGAGTGTTTTTCATCCCTTAAAACGTTTCTAAGAAGCCATTTTGGCGCGTTTTGAAGCTGCACATTCTCAAATATTATGGCGAAACTTGTAGCGGTGTGTAGAGACGAAACCGACTTCGCATTCGAGCGTCGACAAATCCCTCTGAATATTGAGGATGCCTTAACGGTAATTAAGAATTTGTGTCAATTGTGTTTTATCTCCTTCGGTGGAGAATACAAATCTGTGAGCGTTTTGTGTCATCCGCCGTGTTGTTGTCTTCCTTGTTGTCCTAGATGGTGATGGAAATTCCTGAAACTGTGATTTCTACTCGAGAAGTCAACGAATACGAAGTACAGTCGTTTCAAAAGGTGAGTTTAATTTTTCTGTCTTTCTTCCCCCGCTTGTGTATTTATAGACAGTTCTGAAGTCTCCCGAGAAGTCTTTTCTTGAGCTGAAATGGTTCTAATCGGTTGAGATGCTACCTTTTATCAGTGTCTCGGATTAACACTAGTAAATCAGTTGGCAGTTAGGGTGAAAATTATATAAACCAGACTGAATCGAGATTATTTCTAGAGATACAAATCAAGCATTAGCATTTAACCGCGCACCGACTTCGACAAATTGGTCAGTTTATGAAATTATATTTAGTGATTGGCTAGTGTGAAACAAATTTAGTATCAACCACCGTGATTCTTGGTGGTAAGAACTCCAGTTGTCTTCGTTCTTGATGTAAACACTGCATGTGATCGTGGTGGCTGATGTTACTTTGTCAGCAAATTCAGTTGTCCTGATTGAGTTTCTCCCTCTTTGCAGCGTTTTCAATGTCTTAGCGCCGATGATCTTGCGGTTGCGACGATGGTAAGACAGAAAGATGTTTTATCCTTCCTGTCCCACTCGGTGCCTTGTGTTGGTTGTCGGAGAAGGTATCGAATGTTTCTATTTTCATATTATTTCCTCATCACTGTTAAATTAATTATTCACTATCGCAAACGAAATCTCAGTAACATTCATAATTGATTTTCTAATCAATGAAGTTTTTAATAGCTTCGTTTTGACTTGAAGTTGTTGTATCCCAATGTGGTGATGTGTGAAAAAGGTGACATTCTATTTAGTATAAATGTGTGATAGTAATATTGGAAGAGCAGTGGCAGTTCTCTTATTGATATTGTGCTTTTTTACATCAATGTAAGTTGTCAAACTCTCAAATGATGCCTGAGAGGGTATGCCATTCTCATTCAGTTTTGTAGCCGGCTTTTTTCACGTCAGCTAGAATGTTTTTCTTATCTCTTAACTATATGACTGTTCATCACCGGAAAATGTGTTACATAACAAATATTTTTGGCTTTTAGTGTTGCCCAGCACTATCATTTAAACCAGACTGAACAAACACAAATTTGAAATCACTTAAGTGAAAGCTTTTTGATTTTTCAGTCACCAAAAGGCATCATGGGTATATTCTGCTGTTTTCTATCTAGATTCAGGAATTTTTCATTTATCATTCATCATTCAGATTTGTCCTCTGACTTGAAGGATTTCAGGTTAATAATTGTTGCCTTAGGTTCCTGAGATGATCATGAGCTCATTTTGATTAATTTATCCATTTGTATTTTGTTATTTTCACATGCAATCAGTGAGGTTAAAGGAATTTTAGGTGACATTGTATCAAAGGTCAAAGTCAAGGCACAAACAAATAGAATTCTGCTGCAAGAGTCAATAGTCAACCTCTATAAATGTGGCCAAAGTATTGATGGATTATGTAACAGCTTGTTGTCCAAGATTTCTCAATCAAACTAGCTATGAGCTCTGCAGTCATTGTATATACACTTTAAGCTGCTCGGGTATTCTAGCTTGGCATTTGATTTTGTTGTCATCTTCTGATGGCTTGTGTACTCTGTAGGCTTGTAGAATTTCATACCTTGCCACCCAATCAGAGGTTACTGAAGGAAATGTGATAGATGTTGATGATATTGCTTCCTAGCGCTAATTTCTCTGCAAATCTTGCATAAGGCCAGCCATAGGGAAAGCCCTGGAGAACTAGATTCTCAAACAACTACATTCTTATACAATAATCAGTGTTGACATCAGTTTCTCTGAATATCGTAGTGTTGTGTTGAACCAATTATTTTTTTGAGTGTTTGCTTTTCTTTGAGGCTTATTGACTCTTGTTTGGCATCAAATGAAATATGATGCAATATTCGCCTAATTTTTCAACCAATAACCTTTACACAGTATTGAGCGATTGTACAATCAGTTAGTGGAATCAGGACAGCCTGCATTGGAACCTCTGATTATCACAAACAGTGGAGGTATGCATTTTCCTTTTTTTTTTATGTAAGGGTAACAGACTGATAAATTAAGTAATTTACAGATGTACAATTGATGAAAATTCAAATACTCCACTCAGCTACACCTAGAACAACTTGAATATTTTTAACTTACTTCTCATTCTGTAACTTCATGAATTAAAGGTCTCTAATCCTTGTAGCATTGAAGCTGTGTTCTTTTCATGGACTTAGATTTCTTTTCGTTGGTCTTTCGTTAATGTCACGCTTTGTTCTCTTAATTAACATTGCAGTCTTGACAATGGATAGTTCATTCCTGAAAGACCCAAAACTTGTGTATGCACTATTTTATAAACATGGGTAAGTGCATCTGTGATTATGGTATGTGATGGCCAGTGTATCAGACTTCCAGTATGAGGGATGTTTGTGCCCAAATGATTGCACTGTGAACATTATGTTTATTAAAAAAATCTAAAATGTTTGGTGCACATACAGTGTCAAAGTAAATTCTATATTTACTGGCACTATGCACAAGCATTCCTTAGACAGAGTCTTGTTGTGATCATAAAAACTAGTGCTTTATTTAAATTTTATATTATTAATTAAGCCCTCACCATCAGTTTTGTAGCTATTAAAGCAACTTAAATAATTGGACTACGGTTGTAAGTTGTTTCAAATTTCACGAGGAATGATCATAATTTCCAGTAGTGAAGTAGTTCATTTAGATTGTGTTGTTCTATTTTGACTTTACCATTATACTCTTCTAGCTTTTTAGATGGTTAGGAGTGCTCTCTGGGTTCGGTCTGTGCATCATGAACTCTAGCCAGAAATTTTTCTGTCTGGCCTGACCTAATTCAGCCAAAAAGCATTTTATTTTGCCACCACTGTTCTTTCTTTATGCTTTCTTTCCTCTTTTAACTCCCAGGGTACAGGGTGGTTTGGCTCTGTGTGCCCTTGTTCATATCATTGTGTGCTAGGTGCTCCTAGGGCAATACGGCTCATATGATAATATAATTATTATTTCTCTACAGATCCAGGTTAAGTGAGATGGTTGAATCTATTCCTAAGAGCAGAAGAAACAGGTTTTGTATATCTCCTTCTTTCATAACAGACAATAATGTTCCACGGATATTTTTTATTAGTCAGAATCAGATGTTTGATTGGTTATGTTGCCTTAACTGTTTAACGATTGATTGATTTATTGATTTGATCGATTGAATGTCAAGGTACATGTTTATATTGGCTGCACACTTTGTAATTTGCCTCTGCATATCATGTCTTGTAGGAGGTGCCCTTTGCATTCATTGGAAACGCACAAATCAAGGCCATCAGGGTAAATGAAAGATTGCAGAACAGCCTTCAGCTTCATCAAGAAAGCTTCCAAAGTTTGAACCTAAAAACTCTGCATGACAAATAAAATCTGTTTTTTATTAAGACAATTCCAGTAGGAGTGAAAAGCAAGAGTAGAATTGGAAAAAATTTTTACGAATATGGAAACATGGTAACTTTTCTGCGATATCTATAAAGACTGTTTCTGAAAAATTCCGATGCATTATAATCATTGTTTAGAGAGATTATCAAATGTATTTTGTTGTTAATTCATTCATATCTTTATCTCTTCAGAAGCTGGATAGATGTGTGGGATTTACTCTCACAGGAATGTAGGGATGAGGTACTTGGCATTGCTTGTACATTTATAGCAAATAATGGTTAAGAAACTTGCCCCAGTGTTTTGAAGGTTGGATAATTTTATCCACTGAATAGATCTCTGTCTGGTGGATAGCTCAGTATGTTTCACGATCACTCATCTGTTGAATAGCCTCATATGCCCTCCATGCAACTGGTGCCTGTTCTGTAAGACCATGACTTGCAGCTATATTGAACTGTTGTAACTTAATTTCACTGTGACTTTGGATCACAATATCCTCCGTTGACCCATAGGACTTGCAACAAAGTGGGATACAACCAAAACATCCTACAATTAATCTTAAGCACGGCAAAATCAACTATCAGAAGCCAAGGTTTGACATTGTTTGAAGTAGTAAAAGACATGAGTTACGAATGACACTTCACCCTTGTTTTGAGAGACACTCTCACCTAATGCGCAGGAATGCTTGACTGTAAAACTGATATGATATCATTTACAATTATCCCAATG